TCTGCATTATTTTGTAGACAAAGGCAGAGATTCTCAGATACTGCAAAGGACTAAGAAAATAGTAAGACAAATTCTCCTTCTACTTGAAAATCAAGTAAATTTCAGAAGATATGTGTCCTGAAATATTTAGTTGGGAGTTCCTAGGAAGATGGTTCATTGTCATTCCCTTCTTAACCAGCCTGGGTATCCAAAATTCTTTTAAGGTAACATCAGTCTTTTTAAAACAGTCTTTCTTGTTTTAAAAACTCTTATAATGGTGTCTAGTCATCCTACAGTTAAGGCCTTTTCATTCCAGTGGAGTAACACTGTACTGTTATTTTCTGTGGACTTCTCAAACCCTTTATAAATGTACTTCATTAACAAGTCAATGCCATTTGTATCCAGTGACTGTACAGCCTGCTCAATTTCACTGCTCTTAAAGTATGTGAGCACTTTCAGCACCACGCCCTGGGCTGGTTCCATCATACCTTGATTATCGGTGTTAACTGGAGAGTTCCACAAGGCCTTATGGAATTGACAAAGCATCCCCTTGCCCCAGGAGTCCATCCACCTCACTAGGATGTGGGCCTGGCTCTCTTGCCAACACAGCCCCCTCCTCTTGCTCATCCATAAATTTGTTCTCGTCAAACTCGTCAATGTCCACTCTGCTCTGGCCCAACCTCTACTCTGCAGTGCTCCAAAAACTTGCGTAGTTTTAATGTGGCCAGGCAGTGTGAAAAGTTTGTTAGAGCCCTCACAGGAAATCTGTACAGCAAGTGTTCCTTAGATGTAGAGAAAACTAGGTCCTACTGTGCAAGCCTAATCTTCCAGGGAATTTTTCTAAAGAGAAATTCACAAGATATTTGTCATCTGCATGTCTTAAAAGGAGATTTAGAAAACAGGCAATGCTAGGGGAATTTAATTTTAATGGAAAACTAAGCTAAGCTAAATTTTAAGCCAATATTTAACTCTGGGGAAAAAACGGCACTGTTCAAGTAAAGAGAAATAAGCATTCCAAATGACATAGCTAATTCATAATAGCACTGTCATAATTGTAATAATGTAAACTACTCTATTGCTTTGATGGGAAATGGAGGTGAAGTAGGGCTTTTTATAGCAATTCCTGCCTCCAAGCCTCCTCCTCAAGTATGGGAAGCTACAGAAATGCCAAAAGAAAACACATATGCCCACTTCATAGAGATGAGGAGATAAACTGCAAAATAATGGGTTTCAAGAGTTATAAGCAGAAAAAGCACATTATAGTGGACTACTGAAAGACACCAGAACACTGATCTCTCACAAATTTGTTGAAATCAGTATACAAAGGGGACTAAGGTAGAAAGAAGAAAAATAGAGGGGTTGAACCAATTCAGGTTTTAATACATACACACAGGAAATGTTACAATGAAAGTTCCTGTATAACTATCTTAAACAAAAATACCATTTTTCAAAAATGGAGAACAGGAAGGTAAAAGAGGTCCTGTCTGGAGGTTGGTACCAGTGGATGGGGGAAGGATATAAGAAAAGAGGGTGTAGAAAGATGAATGTTGTGGGAATATTATGTAATCATGTATGCAAATGGAAAAATGAGACATATTGAAACTATTTCAAGAATGGAGGGAGATGGGATAAGGAGAATAATGGAGCAGGTCAATTCAACAATGATATATTGTAAGAACTTTTGTAAATGTCACAATATACCCCCAGCACAACAATAAGATAGTGGGGAGAAATGACCCAAACAATGTATGCACATGTGAATAAATGAATTTAAAAAATAAAAGAAATTAGAGGGGAACACCCATTGTACTCATTGAACATAGAGGAAATGCTCTCCTCTCCACATCCAGGATGAAATTTGGGTTTTAATTTTTCACACTTATCTGTTTTCTCCATTTTATTGAAGTTTTAATTTGAATAGACCTCTTTCGCTCCATTTTTCTCTCCTTTTATCTTTCCCTCTCCTCTTTCTTCCCTTCCACATCACCACTGTTCCTATCTCTTCCCTACAAACCATTCACTGAATAGTTTATTATACCAACTTTATTCATCACTCCCTTCCTTTCTATCCCTGTGCTATACCTGACAATAGTAACCTCTTCAACAGTGACTGAAGTACAACTTGATACACATTAGTCTCTTAAGTCCCTGTGACCCCAATATCTCACACCTGTTCTACCCATCTCTCCACCCACTTCTTCCTCATCTGCTCAAGTTTTAATCTCTATCCCAATAACTTTTACTTCTACAACACCCTTCTGTTTACAGATAAAAATGCCAAGGTCCTTATATATCATGTCAGTAACTAGTCTGATATTGAATCCGTGAATTGCTATGGCTAATTTATATCTCCAGATCTGTGAACAGAAATGATACAATAACCTAGCTAACAACCAAGATAGCCACAACATAGAAATTAAGACCATGGAAAGGTAACAGAGTTGTGAGTAAAACCCCCAACCAACTAATCAAAAACACATGAGCAAATCTCAAAATAGAAACATGGGTAATAGAGGAAGGCAGGGATTATGGTGTCTAAAAAAGCTAACAATCACACAACAGAGGATTTGTGGATAGGGACAGGAGGAAATCTCAGTTAACAAAGTCAAAAGAATGATGATAAAAATGTTTAAGGAAATTAAAGAGGACATACAAAAGTAACTCAATAAATTTGAGGGGAATACAGATTTTAAAAACTCTAGAAAACACAGATACAACTAAATGAACTCAAAGAACACATATATGAACCTCAGAACAAAACCAAGGAAATTGTTACAAAAGAGATAAATGAAATAAAGAAGGCAATACAAGATGTGAAAGAAGAGATTAAGAAAGATAAGGAAAATCTCAGAAAAATATCAAATGGATACCCTGGAAATAGAAAGTTCCTTGAGTCAATAAAAAATAGAGTTGGAAGCCACTCTAGTGCACTGGAATAAGTCAAAGACAGAATTTCATTATTTAATAACAATACTGATATTAAGGAAAAGCAGATGAATTCATAAAGAAAAGATTGAAGAATTATGAAAGGAATACACAAGCATTCTGTGACTACCATCAAGAGATGAAATCTACAAATCATGGGCATTAAAGGAGAAGAGGTATCAGCCAAAGGCATAAGAAATATAATCAACAAAATAATAGCAGAAAATCTCTCAAATCTTGAGAGATACCAATCAGGTAAAGTAGGCCTCTAGAATACCAAACAGACATGAGCAAAATAGAACCTTGAACCTCTCTACAGCATACTATAGTTAAAACAATTAGCACAGAGAACAAGAAAGAATACTGAAGGCTGTAAGACAGAAAACTGAAATAAAATACAAAGGCAAACTTATTAAAATAACAGCAGCTGTCTCAACAGAATTTAAAGGCAAAAGGACATGGAGTGAGGTATTTTTGAGCACTGAAAGAAAACAATTTCAAACCTAGAATACTCAAACCAATAAAGCTATTATACATAATTGAAGGAGAAATAAAAACTTTCCATGATAAACAGAAACAAAAATAATATATGATCACTAAACTGGTACTCCAGAATATAGACAAATGAATCCTAAACAGAGAAAATGAAAATAAGCAGTCACTAAAGGATGGGAGTAACAAATCTAAAGAAAAACAGCACACAAGAAAGTATAGAATAGCATAGAATCAATTGCAGACACACAAACTCTTATACACCAAAATGAACCAACTGGCAGGAATCACCACATACCACTCAATTTTAATACTGAATGTTAATAGTCTCAACTCGCCCATCAAAAGTCATCATTTGGCAAGACCAAAAAGGAAGATCCAAAGATTTGTTGCTAAAAAGAAACCCACCTTATAGAAAGAAACAAATATTGCCTTAGGGTGAAAGGGTGGAAAAAGATTTACCAAGTAAATACCTGACCCCCAAAAGAGGAAGGAGTAGCAATATTTAGGTAAACTAGACTTCAAACCTAAATTAGAAGAGACAAAGAAGGTCATGTAATACTAACAAAATGAACAATGTATTGAGAGGAAATAACAATTGTTAACTTAATATGCTCCCAATATTGGCACATCCAATTTCATTAAACATATACTACTGGACTTAAAAACATAGACAGATCCCAACACAGTGATATTGGGAGAGACTTCAATACTTCAGTATCACCAATAGATAAATCATCCCGATTAAAAAAAATCAACAAAGAAATTCTAGTATTAAATGACACCACAGACCAAACAGACCTGAAAGACATCCAAACATGCATCCAGCAAAAACACATTATACATTCTTCTCAGAAGCCCATGGAACTTTCTCCAAAGTAAATCATCACAAGCATGTCTTAACAAATATAATAAAATTGAAATAACCTCCTGCATATTACATGACCACAATGGGATTAAAATAGAACTCAACAACAAAAGAAACAGTGGAAAATACTCAAACACCTGGAGACTAAAGAAATGCTCCATGAGCAGTGGGTCATCAAAGATTCAAATTAATAAAAGTAGTAATAAAAAAGTGGAGATTACAACAAATAACTATTAAATCCAAAGATCAATTGTGACTACTTCAAAAAAGTATATTCAAAAAATTGGATAATCAAGAAGAAATGAATAAATTTTAAGATGCATATGACCAAACAAATTTGAACCAAGAGGATATTAATCACTTAAATAGATCTATAACAAGTAAGAACTTAAAGCAACAATAAAGGATTTTCCAAAAAAGTCCAGGACCTGATTGAGTCACAGCTGAATTCTTCCAGATCATTAAAGAAGAGCTAATACCAACACTCCTCAAACTTTCCCACAAAATAGAAAAGGAAGGAACACTGCCACAATAATTCCATGAAGCCAGTATTACACTCAATTCGAAACCAGGCAAGGACAAAACAAAAAAAGAACTCTTTAATGAACTTATATCCAAAAACTCACTTAAATGAGGTAGACCCTAAAATTCTCAATAATACATTAGCAAGGGCGCGGGGCTACCGCAGGCCATGGGGGAAGGGGGCGCCATGGGGCGCCGCCGGCCCTTCCCGGGGCGGCACTGGTGGCGGCAGCAACAGCAGCAGCAGCGGCAGCGGCAACACTGGTGGCCGGGCCGAGGCGAGGGCGAGGGCGCGGGGCGCACCGCCATGGGCCTGGCTGGGCTGCAGGTGGGTGTGTTGGGCCCGGCCGCGCGGGGGGCGGGTGGCACGCGGGGCCCGGCTGGGCCGGGCGGAGGGAGGGCCACACAGGTCCTGGCCCGGTCCGACCGGCCGGCCCCTGCCTCCTGGCTGCGTGGGCGGCCCACCACCGCCGCCAGGCCCTCGAAGCATGGCTGCGTCGGGAGGCGCCTTCGCAGCGCCGGGACCGGGCGGTCCCGCTCCCCGCCCCGCCGCGCCCTGAGCGCCCCCTCCCCCGCTTCCCCCGGGTCCCCCTCTTCAGGCAGGAAGATGTCCAAGCCCCGCGCAGTGGAGGTGGCGGCAGTGGCAGCGACGGCCCCGGGCCCGGAGATGGTGGAGCGGAGGGGCCCGGGGAGGCCCTGCACCGACGGGAGAACGTGTTTGCCGGGCAGTCAAAGATCTATTCCTTCATGAGCCCGAACAAATGCTCTGGAATGCGTTCCCCTCTTCAGGAAGAGAATTCAGTTGCACACCACGAAGTCAAATGCCAGGGGAAACCATTAGCTGGGATCTACAGGAAAGGAGAAGAGAAGAGGAATGCCGGGAATGCAATAGGAAGCACCCTGAAGTCCGAGGAACAGAAGGTCAAAGACGCCAGGAGAGGTCCCCTGGCACCTTTTCCAAACCAAAAATCTGAAGCAGCAGTACCTCCAAAATCTCCACCCTCATCATGTGATTCTACCAATACAGTGGGCGCCAAGCAAGCCCTGAAAAAACCCCTCAGGGGCAAACAGGCCCCTTGGAAAAAAGCTCAAGGGAAAACGCAACAGAATCGCAAACTCACAGATTTCTACCCAGTCCGAAGGAGCTCCAGGAAGAGCAAAGCTGAGCTGCAGTCTGAAGAAAGGAAAAAAATAGATGAGTTGATTGAAAGCGGGGAGAAAGAAGGCATGAAGATTGACCTCATCGATGGCAAAGGCAGGGGTGTGATTGACACCAAGCAGTTCTCCCGGGGTGACTTT